TATATATATATAAAAAATATGTATTGATTTTTAAAATATGCCGCAAATGCCTGATCAGAACCAATTGTTCCGGAGAGCTGTGTAATAAAAGCTCATGTTAAATAGTACAACGTGAATATCATTACTCAAAATGCTTGTATTTTGAGTTCTTCATTTTTATTCCCCAAACATTTCCCAAACTGTTTATTTAATCGCTTTTGTGTTTATGTGCACGCAGGGGCAAGTTTGCAGTAGTGAAGAAGTGTGTGGAGAAAACTACTGGCAAGGAGCACGCTGCGAAGTTCCTGAGGAAAAGGCGGAAGGGTCAGGACTGCCGAGGCGACATTCTGAATGAGATCGCGGTGCTGGAGTCAGCCAAGGCGAATCCCTATGTGGTGGCACTGCACGAGGTCTATGAGACCACCACAGAGATCATCCTCGTCTTAGAGTGGTAAGACACGCACTCACACAGTTATGTAGTGACATTCCCTGACCGTGAAAGTTAAGCGCAGTGCGGAGTGTTTTATGATGACTTGGACATTGCGCACCATAATTTTGTTATTCCAAGTCACCAGGGCTTTTGAAGTTTATAATTACAGGCACAAAGAAATGGCACAGCGGGCAAATCAAAACAGGAATTTTTCATAATGCTGTTGTTTGAAAGCGTGTGTTTGGAGCTTGTTTGTCTGTACCTTTCTGGATGTTACCACAGACCACAGTTGAACTAGTTCTTCTTTTAACTGAGTGAGCTGAATGTTCCAATACAATAACCATAAAAAGAAATCAAAGAAACAAATTCTCAAGTGAGAATGTGGTGTTCTAGTGTTCGGTCCTCGTGAAAGGTCAAATCCGAACACTTCTCAGAAAGCACTGCAAAGTGACTGCATTTTTTCTGACCACGCTGCAACCTCGCCAAAATCATACCAAACCGGTTTACTTTGCCTTGCCATTTTCTGCTGAACTTCTCAAGAATCACTGAAAATGTTCAGCAGACCTGACTCAGACCTATGCGTTTTCATGAGTTTTATTTAAAGTATTGATGACCTATATTCACTTCATTACTGATCTACATTTTGCCACAAATAAAAATCGCTCACCCTTAAGTTGTTCCAAAACCATATGGCTTTCATTGTGTAACACAAAATGAAGGGTTTTTTGATACTTTTGTCCTTTTTAAAGCTCAAAAGCTACAGTCTCCATTCATTGTAATTAAATGGAAAAGAGCAGCCAGGACATTCTTTGAAATTTCTGAATTAAAAAAAGGTGAATGTAAAAATGTGAAATCTTATGTAAAAAAAGACGTGAAATGGGTTTGGAACAACATGGGCTGTAAATGTTGACTTTTGTGAGTTATTCATTTAACACTTTGGTATTCACCACATATTTGAGAAAATTGCTTACTGTATATTTTCAGCTGAAGCATAATCGCACTCTTTTAGTTTTCCAGTAAAACTGAAGCTGATAACGTTTACTAATGATGAGGAAATGACAGGTCATTAAGTTTAAATGCTTTTCGTAAGCTCTCTGTGTATCTATCATTTAAATGTCCCTTATTTTTTCCCCTTAATTTGTTAAAGGAATTAGTTTTTTCCCCCCTACTATCTGTGTTATTGCAAATTCTGCATAATATCAACACATATTGTGTGTTGATCTGTGTAGAGAGGCAGGATGCTGACTGGTTGGATGACGGCGGTTTTGAGAATTGGTAGATTATATCTCTCGGTCTGAAAGGTAACATGCCACAAAAAAAAAAGTCAAATAGTTGCTGCACACGGCTAAGCCACTTCCTCTGAAGAGACAGCTGTATGTCAATCTGTCACTTGTAAGCACGCACATCGGCATGTGTGCAGGCAACCTGTGGAGTAAGTTTACCTTATAAGGAAGGTAACTCTTCTCGTTTTTCGTCAATTGTTGTGCAAGATCAGTCAAGGTCTGTGAGACTGAAGTCATGGTCTGGTTGATCTGTTTGCACATAACATATATAGATATACAAGTCTTATTTATATTTTTATATGAATACACTATCATATATTTCAAAATTTTTTGTATAAAAAATGGTGAGTACAGCCCCACTCTTATTCTTCTTTTTTTTTTTTTTTTTTTTTGCATGTTTGCATATTTCTGTGTCTGCTGTCGTGTTAGGACAGTCTGTCTGGTTTTGGTAAGGAACAATGCATCCAGTTCATTTTACTCTGGTTTTCTGTTGTTAGTTAAATCCTTAAACTTGATGTGGGCAGGTTTAGCAGTAAAAACCAGTTAAACCGAAGAGACACAGACAGAAAGAGACACTTCAATTTCCATTTCCTGTGGCTTTTCTTCTAAAAGCAGAGCTGCAACGTACTCGCGTTTGCATGTGCAATGCATCACCACATCCTCTGTTGTCAGAAACTAACCGAGTTCTCGCAGTTTTCTGCCATTTAAAGTTAAAACCCTAGCTATTGTAAGACTGAGAATAGAAAAGGTCATACTTACATTTACCAAACACACACAGACACCCCACGCAAATTTGTGGTGAAACACCAGCACCGACTATTACATAAACACTAGCCACTTTTTCAAAAGCCACATGTACGTATGTTTGGTGTAAAATGAGATGATTTTAGGATGTTTTTGGGACTGGCTGGTAAAATTAAAATGGGTCAGATCAAGTAACAGGCCTAACTGTAGGTTAGAGAGAGTTTTCATCTTCTTAAAACTATTATTTATACTTTCAAGCAGTCTGCATTTACATTGAAGGATCTAATAGAGCTTTTAGGGTGATCTCTTTTGTTTTGGGCTGTAAAAACACACTAGCAGCCACTCACAACACCATAGCAGAATTTATCACAGACAAGGGATGTTCTTTGGAAAAAATTAGTTGAGTGATTTGTCGAGTGATCGGTTTCATTCTTTAAACAAAATGAAAGCCCTCCCTTGCTCAGAGTTTGGCATTTATCTTTCTAGGAAAGCTCTTATGTAAGTCTCTTTGTCATAAGTCTTCATCTTCATCATGCTTCTCTGTTTTCCTCATCTGCTTGATCAAACGCCCTCAGAAGTCTCTGAAATGGACCTTTCAATGGCTTTAAATCCTTTTGACTGATGCAGATGTACAGTGTCCAACTGCCTCTGGTTCAGCACACCGCTAATACGCCTTTGGAGAGCATTCTTCACATCTTTAGCAAGACTCTTTAAGTCCGAGTACTCACTCTCGTCTTTTCGTGAGAGGGGAAATGCGCTCTTGGTGGTCTTGGGTAGCGGATGAGCATATTTTTATCCTTGCTTTCTCTTCCAGAAAAAGTTTGTTTGAGCGACAAATCTTTGCCTTTGCTCCACATTCTCATGGCTTCAAAACCACAGAGTAAACTTGAAATTCCTCCGTCATTCGTCGTTCACCAGCGCAGTGGCATTTTGATCAGGTGAAATCAATAAAAATGGGACGTCAACGTCACCAGCCTGTAATGTGATTTATTTTACGCAATGGCTGCTCTTCTTCAGGCGATCATAAATCCGAGTCAGTCCATGGAACCACTTTATAGATTCTTCAGATTTTCTCTCACACGCACAACGAAACCAAAACATGTTTTTCCATACATGAAAGGCTGTGAGGATTTGACCCTGCACATGTGTGAGCATTAACAGACCTCTTTGGGGTTTGTTTTGCTGCTGTTACTTTAGAAGACGGTCACGTCGGGGGAATTTGGAGTGGAGGATTTATTCCATTAGGGTGAAGGGCTTGAGTTGTTGTGATATGTTTGATTAAAAGGGGGAAGGGGGTGCGAAAGGTTCCCAATATCCCAGTGTAATTCTTTATAAGCCTCTAGTTGCTCATCTGATAAGCGATACCCAAAATCCCCTATTTATACAGCTGGATTCAACTGTTACGTAACACACACCACACACACACCACACACACAAATCCATACAGACTCTCCACTGTAGATGAAAAGCAAATACATGAGTGTCTATTGGTTGGGGCTTATGTGTGCGGCCCGTAAGCCACTACACATGGCCCTGATTTTCACAATCTTTCATCGCCCAAAAGGAGTAACTGCTTGCAAATCTTCATGGTAACCCTCGCTACGGTTATGCAAGGATGAAATTCCCCATCCGTCGGTACCCAGAAGTCTCCTCTAATTTATTAATTAGCTGTCTTGTTGGAGAGGCCCAATTATAATGTGTAGAAATTAGTGCAAACACCTGGCTTAGAGTTCAAACGACTCCACACATGTGGGTGGTGTACTGTTGATTTCTTGGAAATTTTTATGAGTTATTGTTTTATTGAGCTCATTATATGCTTGATATGGCTTAAATACTAATATCAGATGGGACAATGAGAAACACCTCACCCTCATCTCTGAAACTGTTATTCTAGGATGGTTGAGGGTGTGTTTGTGTCTTTTTGGGTGTCTCTAATCATAGATTTATTTAATGCTTTTTTTTCTTCTTTTTTGGCACAATAAAAAAAAAAGTATTATGTGAGAACGTAATTTGAGATCTAAATTGTAACCTCTCTTTCGCTTTCAGTGCTGCCGGAGGTGAAATTTTTAACCAGTGTGTTGCTGATAACGACGAGGCCTTCACAGAGAAAGACGTCATCCGATTGGCCAGACAGATTCTGATGGGCGTGGCCTGTCTCCATCAAAACAACATAGTTCATTTGGACCTTAAGGTGAGTGTACTGTTTGTATTTTCGTGTTCGTGTTCGTGCACATGTACGTCATGATGATTCAGTCAGAGTTCTGGAATGTCTCAAACATCTTTTTGACCATTCTTGGCAGTGTGGGATTGAATCGGAACAGTTTTGTTGTAACAAATATGCCAGAAAGTTACTTGAGGGCTAAAACGTCTCTGCTGCCCCTTTTTTCTCGTCTGAGATGGGGCGTATGTGTGTGAATTCAAATGCATTAATGGGGCACTAAAGGAGTACTTTTCACATGCAACTATTAAATTCTGTTAAAAAGTAAATTAAATTTTAGTACCAATAAATTTAAGTGTTTTTTTTATTTATTATTATTATTATTATTATTATTATTATTATTATTATTATTATTATTATTATTATTATTATTATTATTATTATTATTATTATTATTATTATTTTTTTATTTATTATTATTATTATTATTATTATTATTATTATTATTGGGGAAACAGGTTCTGCTCTGTAATTCAATGTTTCCTTTCTCTCACACCCATAATGTCTTCTCCAGCCTCAGAACATCCTGTTGACGAGTGCCAAGCCACTGGGTGACATCCGTATTGTTGACTTCGGCTTATCTCGGCGGGTGGACAGTGTGTCAGAGTTACGGGAGATCCTGGGCACTCCCGAGTATGTGGGTGAGTCGGACCGCCTTCATTTGCAAACCTCAAATCCTCCTGCGCACAGCATAACTGCTGCAAAAAACGGATATGTGAAGACTTGTCAGCTCAGTATAGTGAAGAGGAGGGGTAAAACAAAAGCTTGTTTAAGACTAATGAAACGTAACTATTGACTTGGTTGTGACTCCCTCAGTCATAGAAAATCTGCAGAAAAATCTGGCATAAAATGGTAAACATTTTCTAGCCTTACCTACATTTTATTATAATTTTTTTTTTTTATATCATTGATTGTTTTTGAACACTTTTGCATCAGACTGCTGAGATAATGAAATTTTTTTTTGTTTAGTTTTTTTGTGCGCATGTAGCTGTGTTGTGAAGGGTAATGAGACATTTGTTTCTCTCTTTCCTTCAGCTCCTGAGGTCCTGGACTATGAGACCATCAGCACAGCTACTGACATGTGGTAAGTTGAATTCTTTGAGTGTCCAGAGTCCAGACGTGTGTGTGTGAGAGAGTTTGTAGTATTTGACACTCATATGAGGTGTTTTATAAAGGTCATTTATCCTTGTGGCTACATCTGGATAACTGGGCCTATAAAAGCAGATGCAATTTGCGTGATGCATTTCTGTAATCTAGTCATTCAATAAATGTGTCAGTGTTTATCTGCATGATAAAAAGTCAGCATGTGCAATCAGTTTACAACCCACTGAATATCCCGAACATTGTCTAGAAAGTTCACACATTTTAATTGACGTAAAAGGTGGTTGTCACACTCATTGTCCTTTTTTCCCCCCATCATTGTTTAAACAACATACTGTTCCCTGTCTTTCATATTTTAACTTTTATTAGTGGAGCTCACTAAAACAATCACTATTACTTTTGTTCATGCTTTAAGATTTAGAATAAACCTCTAACCCCAAGTATGAGCAAAACTAATGATTCTTGCTGTAGTTTGAAGTTGCAATGTAACGGAAGTAGCAACAGATCTTTTCTTCTGTATTGTGATGCACCAATTGTAGGAAATTATGAAATTAAGGAATAATTACAATAAAAAGAATTAAAAAAATATATATGCACGATGAATTGTTCACACTAAGATCTATAACGTGTATTTAGAATATAGGGTTGTTTTCCATTTCATGCCGGCTTTAAGAATTAAACTTTACAACCTGTATGACTTAAGTGTCTTATTACTTTTCTAATCCTAAATATGCTTTAAAAAAAAAAAAACATGTTTAAAGCCCAAGCTGGTTTCCTGGTCTTAGCTGGTTTAAGCTGGTCTCCCAACCAAACCAGCTAAGAAATGCCCAAAATCCAAAACCAGTCAGGCCATGCTGGAGACCAACTGAAACTAGCAAACTTTTTTTTTTTTTCTTTTAGCAGTGTAGGCTTATTGATTATCATGTGATAAAACATCACATTTAAAGATGTGTTTTTTCTGCCGTACTGATCTGTGTTGCTGCTTTTCCCCTACAGGAGCATTGGGGTGCTGATTTACGTGATGCTCACAGGAGAGTCACCTTTTCTGGGAGAAGAAAAGCAGGAGACCTTCCTGAACATCTCCCAGGTCAATGTGGACTACTCACAGGATGTCTTTCAGGGCATCTCTGACCTCGCTGTGGATTTCATCCAGTCACTGCTCATCAAAAACCCCAGGTAGGGATAGTTGGCTGTTATTTGTAAGAGTGGATGTGAAATGACATTGTGACGCTCCAGTTTTGTTTAGGCAAACTTACATAACCTGCTTGATGGAGTGGCTTGAGTTGGCTCTGCTCCAGACATGCAATCTCACGCTTCAATCTCTCATTAAAATGTAATGGACCCCGTGTCTTGAATATACAGTGAAATGATCCTTGCAGTCTTACTTTTTTCCCCACATCCCTGGGCACTTTTGCTGCAACTGATGAATGGTGAAATGGCTTTTTGGGTCTGCTGGTGTAACAAATGGAAGTCCAGACCTGCCGTCTTCACTGCTATATGGGAACTGATAGTAGCAGGGTCTCTGATCCAGAACTATAATCTGCACTCCATAAAACTTAATGCTTGTAGTTCATCGCCACTGAAAAAGCAGGAGATGAAAAATGGTAGCTTAAAGCAATGTGGTAAAATTCCTCTGAATGCGAGTAATTGGGGAAGGAAAAATCTGGGAACCTAAACAAGAGAGTGTGAGAGTCTTTCATTTGGTGGAGAACTGGTGGAGAAACCAAATGCTGATGAGAACCGTAGTGCATCATTGCACAAAAAAGCACACACTCATGACATTTTCTCACATTTTGTAATTCTTTACCATAGGCCATTTTGCGGTCTTTGCTCACTTAATGAGCAAAGTATGTATATATTTTATTATTATTATTATTATTATTATTAGAAAATAATATAAATAGACCTGTATCTATTTTATTTTATATTGTTATTTTATTCAGTTTCACTTTTTTCCATACTTGTTTATTATTATTATAATTATTAGCATTTTTTGGAAAATAATATATAATAGACGGGTCTGTTTATTTTAGTTTCCCAAATAAAATAAAAGTATGATTTTTTATTTTTATTTTTTTGTGAATGACAATATAAAATAGAATAAATAGGTCTTTTTATTTAATTTGATCAATTCACCCAAACAGTATTTTTCTTACTTTTTCCTATTTTTTTTTTTTATAAAATAACCCGACCTATTATTTGAAAATTATGCATGAATTTATTTTATTTAAAACAAAACTTGTTTTTCTTTATACTTTTGTTGCAGTATCATCATTTTGTGTGCCAATATGAGAATGTGACTTGCCAACACTCTCAGTAGTGACCAGTTCTGATATGTATGTTGTACAATCTGATATAAAAGATGTTGCATAATATGCACATTTAACAAACAAACAAAAAAAATCACAAAGTATGTTTGTCTCTCTCTCTCTCTCAACACGCTTTGGACGCCCCTCTAGATGAGCAAGAAGCCAGCCAATCCGAATCAGAGCCTGAAAGTCCTGTCCCCTCCCCAGAACTTGTCATCATCCCTTCATATCCCACCTGGCCAGGCCAGGGGGAGCTGAAGACGGGTTGGGACACTTTCAGTTTCACAGAACCATTCCCACCTCGTCCCGAGATACAACAAGAACTCATCTGTTAAGCAACGGACATGATTGCCCAATCAGAGGGCCTCTGTGTTAACGACCTGCCAGACTGGTGTGGCCTACTTTGGACTGGACGGCGGCGGTGGTCTACTCGGGTGTTTGCAGCACCGTTGTATGTGTGTGTGAAATCTTTGTGTCGTCTTGTGTGGGATACGTAGCCATCCTGGTCTGTGAATGCGAGTTGACCTCCCTTATGACCACAGAGGTGTGCGCGTGTGTCTACAACAGATCTGAATGAGATTTTTTTTAAAGCCCCTTAATAAAGCATTCTTAAGCTCTTGGTCAAGGTTCTTAACTCAACGCACCACAATGGATTGTTTATACTTTTAGAGTGGATTGAACCTTCTCTGCTGTCTGTACTTGGTCCAAAACTCAAGTCGGAGTCTCCCCAGGAAGTGCCTGCTGCATTGTAGGAAGGAAATGGAAAGCTCTGATAAATTGACTGATGTTTTATTCATCATTGCTCTTCACTGGACCAACGCATTATAAAATATTCTGAAGAACTGACACTGCTTCTCTCCTCAAACAGTAGATTTGACATCATTCTGCTTCTTTAGAAGTGGCACCTGCATTTTAATGAACTGATTCACAGAGACTACTTTTGTTTTAGCACTTTCGGTGGGAATAAATTTGTACTAAATCTCCCAACAAGCACATTTAAGTAGTTCAACATGGTCATTCATACCCACAAGCCACTGTTTGTTTGATTTCTCTCACCGTTTCTGTACCACTTTTTTCTTTTTCTTATTCATAGCAAGTTTGCTATAATTGCACAAATGTCATGTACCGTTGTTGTTGTTTTCAAGAGGTATTTTTGCCTTTTTGTAATATATTCTGTATGTTATTTTTTGTGTCTGGTAAGGCATCATGGGTATCGAGAGGTAAATTTTCCAAGTCGTCCGTGATGGAGTGGGGCTTATGACTGAGGGCCGCTCAAAGTCTTCTGGGATTTGAGCATTTCAGACAGTTGTGGAAGATGTTTGCATTTTCAGAAGAACAGAGTACAACAAAACAAAAGGCTTTGATAATTGTATATTTTTTATTTTAAAAAAAGAATGTAAAAATGTATTTTTCTACAGTTGTGGTATTTTAAGATTAATATGAGAAAATAAATTGTAATATTATTATTATTATTATTTTTATTTTTTTTTAACCAGTTGTGCTTATAGAAGTTTGCACTTGCGTCCAGTTGGACTACTTATGTATTATTGGCATGCCTGGCAAGATATTGAAGAAAATAAATGATCATTTTGTATTAAACTTATGAAGAATCTTGTGTGTTTACCTTCTAATAGGTTCTAATTAAAGCAATAAGCCCCAAGAAGCCGTGGTTTACAGTGAATTTATAACAGCTAAGGGGCGCCTAAAACCCCCTTAGCTGTTATAAATTCACTGTAAACCACGGCTTCACTGGGCTTATTGCTTTTATAAAAACGGTTATTCCATAGATGTATTAAGGTTTCACAAAATAAAACGGAGCAAATAAAGTGTAATGATATTAATAAAAACAGTATTCTACCACCAAACAATCTAGTTCCTCAGAAACAGTTGTGGTTGCAATAAAGTGGTTGCCAAGCAACACACAAAGTAAACAAAGGTGTGTGTTTGTGGAGTAATTTACAACAGCTTCGAACGTGGCTCAGCCAATCAGAATCAAGGACCGGAACTATTCATTTTATAAATAAACGTTTAAAAGTTTGAGGTCAATACGACTTTTTTTTTTAATAGCTTTTGAAATGCACCAAGGCTGCATTTATTTGATCAAAAATTCTATAAAAAGTTAGTATTGTGAAATATTACTATTTAATGTAACTTTTTTTTTATTTCAATACATATTAAAAATGTAATTTATTCCTGTGACAGTAAAGCTGAATTTTCAGCATCATCACTTCAGTCTTCAGTGTCTCATGATCCTTCAGAAATAATTTTAATGTGCTGATTTGCTGCTCAAGACACATTTCTCATCAATGTTGAAAATCATTGTTCTGCTTAATATTTTTATGGAAACCATTATACGTTATGGTTGAACATGGTTCAGAAGAACAGCATTTATTTGAGATTTTTATGATGTAAATTTATTTACTGTGTATATATAGATATCCATAAACCAGCCATAACAAAAATATTTAATATTGTAATGTAGTGAAACAATTTCCAAAATTTGTTTTGATATTTAGAAATATAAATGATAAAATCTTGATAGACTACAAAAGAAAGTGTGCAAAATGATCCTTTATTGGACTAAGGCATAAAGTTTCCACATTCCAACCATCAAGGTTACAGGGAAATATGAAATATTGCTCCTCTTTGCAGTTTTCCTAACCATGTGAGACTGAGGTAACCTCTTGAAATGACTGAGAGGAAAATCCATCATTTTCTTTGAAAGGTGAGATTCTCTTTGCCAGTGTTCCCTCAGAACAGTAGTATTTTCTACATTTGGATGCCAAGCTTACTATCACTAGTCATGAACTCTTACCCTGAAGCGTCTGGCATGCTTTAACCAACTGTAGGACAATGAAATAATGTAATGGGTAAATATTATATAGATTTTTATTTGAGTAAAGATCTTCTATCTTCCAAGATGTTCCGAGAGAAAACTTGTTCTGCCTGACAGATAGAAAATGAACTCACTCTTATGTATATCTTTCAGTCAAAAGCAACTGGACACTTTGGAAGTGAAAAGGTGATACATCTTACCAGACCTTTCCCTACTAATGAAAGAAAGTTGTTTTAGATAGCAATTTTTATCACAATAATGTGTGCCTTTACTCTGAATTTTCAAACACACAAGCAGGAAATGCCATGTGTTTAAAAACTGTTTTAAAAACATTAAAAAATGTTCCTGCATTCCTCCACACACACACACAGAGTGGATTAGAGGGAATTAGAGGAACGCAATGCTGTTTTTCAGGCAAGCAGATTTTCTTTCCTGTCCTTTCTGTTCTCATTCCATTCTTTCTATCTTCACCTTCAAATGAAGCTGCATTACTTCTGCTCACTCCCAATACAATGATGGCAAATATATTGTTGATATGTACATAATATAATGACAGTAAATGAAATGCATATACATAAAAGTGTTGACATGCTTTTAAAACTACAGCTTTTTTATCATAAAAGTCAAAAAAGATTAATTACTAAATAAAAAAACAAACATTTTCTTCAAATGACTCTCAAGTGTGTGTTCATTATATTTTGTCAGCTCATATTTGAAGGATCTCTATGTATCTGATGCTGATGAAACGAGCTGCACTACAGTGATTGGTCGCTCTGTGTTTGTTTAATCTCTTAACCTTTCCTCAGTTTCCCTGCCCTCCCTCATACTGTGACATTATGGTGCAACTGAAACTCATTCTGAAATGTCATCTCTGATTTCATCCTCCAATTCCCCACAGCATAGGGCTGCAGTAACAAGGAAAATTCCAGAAAGTGATCAGGAATTCAAAACATATGGGAACAAAGAGGAATCTTTTATCCATCAGATCAGTGGTCTGAGCCGCTCACCTTTGGAGTTACATAACCTGTGGAGGACAGAAGGGCATTATGAAGCTGATCAAGTTCAGACACACTGACAAAATAATCTGTTTAGAAGGGTAATGTTCTCGATTACACGTTCAAATAAATTAGTAAAAAAACAAAAAACCAAGAGCAAGATGAGTGCTTTATCTTTCTACTTATTTGATTTGATTGCTAGTAAGGTACCAAATGTTAAAAAAAGAACAATTCAAATTTAAAATAATTCAAAAATACAAATTCTCTCATAATTTACTCCATAGAAGATGTTCTGTCTTCCAAGGTTATCCTATTTAAATCAGTGTGATAAAAGAGTTAAGTCAAAAGTAATCTAAAATTGATCAAAAAGTAGTTTGATTATATTACCTAAAATATATAATGTAATGGATTACGTTACTAACTACAATTTCTGTCATGTAATTTTGGGATTCAGTAACAGACTACAATTTGTAAGTAATCTACCCTATAGACAGTATACAACTTTATCAGTCTTCTGAGTTTTTTTCTCGAGCGATAATCCTTACGTGTTTGTCCCATTGAAAGTCACTGAGAACCAATGAAGCGTGATCAGTTTATAATTTTGTCATAGTGAAGTGTATGAAGACAACAACACATGTCAAAACAGCTTCATATTAGAGTTTATTGAATAAAGGTTTTGACACCCTTCATATCACGCTGTGCAGCCAAAGCTTGTCCGTCATGAAGTAGAGAGAGTGTTTGGCCCCCGCATATTTATCACATGGAACTTGTAACATCATGTTTATAACTGACAATTAAAAACACTCCCAAACCTTGAATAGACCTACCTCATGAATTATTCAAATACAACAGCCAATGGCAGGTCTCCAGCAGCAGACCTTTTCAATATTTATATTTTTGCATTAGAAGTTATATTGTTTATTAAAATTACAATATGCAGTTTGGGTGTAGCATGTGTAGATGAATCATATAATGCCTTTGCTCAGCTGCGCATTCAATCTTAAAATCAAATTTTAGTGGTGATATGCAACAAGTTGAATTAAAACACATAAGGCCAAACTCATTCAGTTCACATTTGAGAAGGATTTCACACGCAGGTGTCTTCATGATTGGAAAGATGAAGTTCTCAGGAGATTTTGCTCAGAGACCACAAGAATTCACTTAATGGGCTACGTATTACACATTTTTATTTCTATGTGGTTTGTATTATTTTTTTTATTATTATTGTGTTGTTGGTGGAATTGTAAAGCTTTTGTGACTCATGTTTACGAAGTGTGTAGGCATAATGGAAAGGGGGTTTTGTGTTATTTATCTAAATTGTTCTGGGTTGAACTGGTGTTGGTATAGAACTTGATCTATTAGAGTTATAACACGTGATGTTATTGTTTTGGTGAATGTCTGTTTCTCAGATCGTAAATGTCTGTTTATGTATACATAACTATATTATTAAGCGTTTATATGTCATCCGCCGCTTTAAATGCTAAAGCTCATTTAAGTTGCCTGGGTGGAATCAGATTGGCTGTATATATAGGTGTTATTAAAATGCTTTTATCTGATGCAAATTTATTGATGCAATTTCTCACTTTCTCTCTGTCTCCCTTGACTATTTGTCAGAGTGTGACAAGCCTCCTTTCTCACGTCTCATTTTTAACCTCTGTGAATATCCCTGGAGGCAGATCCGAACTCTTGCATAACCAGGACATTCCTTTACGCCTCTGACCCGATTACAGCTCATTAAGGTGAGATACACAGAGGAAAAGGAACAAGAGTGAGAGCGAAAAGTGATAATGACGATGATCACATTAATGAGCACTGAAAGATGAAAGGTGGGAGCCATCTCTGCTTCATGGAAGTGTGTTCAAAATGAGTGTGTGAGTTTCCTTTGTCATGGATGAGGCAATGAATGTTTTAAATTACTTTTCACAGGGTAATATATCCTATATCTTGAGGTCAGTGATGGAATATGAGTTTGTTTACTCTAGTGCTGCCTTAAGTTCACCCTGTTTGACATAACCTCTCTTATGGATCAATATTATTCTGAAAACAGATGTCTGCTCTATCCTACATGACCTTTCATAAAAGTGATTTTGAATATTTTTGCCTTCCAAACTATCTATCAACATATTTCATGCTCTGTTTGTGGTAGATTTAATGCATTGTATGCAGAAAACAACTTTATGCAGGGCTGAACTGGCTTGTTTAGGCCAGTTCAAATTTGTAGTTGCATTGACATATTTTCCTTTCCTCCACCACCACCACACCAGAAATTAAATGAAATAAAACAAAACTATATATATATATATATATATATATACATGAAGAGTTCATTTGCAAAAACCATTTTTTAGTTAGGCTATGAGTTATCCATTTTTATATGAGTAATGAGTTATTCATTTTTTTATTTTTTTTTTCAGAAATCACGTTTTTTTATTGCGCATTTCAAGTAAGTTAATATCAATCAAACTGCAGTTGGGTTGTTTTGATTAAGTAATAATAACTTAAACAA